GGGGGGTGGCTTATTCACACCCCTGCATGACATAGCTTAGACCGTCTTAAGCTGTTGTGTGTACATAGCCACAAGTAAATATTGGTTGCTGCTTCTTGTAAATGGTAACTCACCTGCACAATTGGCAATCTTTCCAAGGATCCCTGAAGTGCTGGGCCTAGATAAATCCAAATAAATACGTTTTGTATTCCTTGGTGGATTGTTTTTAGCACAAAACATGAAGTTTTACTATTGGGCCACCTTACTTAGTCGCTGATAAGTGGCATCAGCGTTTTGGTGGGCCCCCCAATGGCACATCATGCACCAGTCTTAACATTTCCCTTTGAAGGGGCAATGGTGGAATCCAGACCGGGTCATGTAAATCATCCCCTTCACTAAGCAACAAGTTTTCCCTGACAAGGAGTCATTTACCCTTCAGCTGGTTTAGCTCCCCGTGAGTTACTTTGGGTGTAAAAGCGGATAGGCCTGGATCAGACTCTTGCAATGTTACTAAATCACTGTTTGCTGCTTGTGCTCAGGTGGTACCAGCAAGGACTGGCTAATTAGGGGCCAGAACACTCCTCTGGAGCACCATCAATTAATAGTCCCATGCTGGCAAAGGTGAGGGTTCTTTAAGAGGACAGACTGCAGTTTGCTGCTCTCAGCAGCCAGCATCTGTGTTAAACTAGGACTAGATACTGGCCTGGCGTTACAGTTTCACATGTCCCAAGCCCACCCGACATCTGAAACGTGTCCCGGCCCACCGCACAGCCAATACGTGTTTTTCACAGAGGTTCTACTGCTTTTCACCTCCCGTTGAGTACTCTGGAAGCATAAGCAATAGGGTTTTCTCTGCCGTGATAGATAGGCCTGAGTGAACACGGCTGAAATGGCTGGGTCCCTGGTTGCTACAAATAGTCCAGAAGGTTTTATATAATTTGGGGCACTAGGGGCTGGAGCTGGTGTCACCTCTTTGAAAAGATACACTACCTAGATATGTATTCCATTCCCACTCCATTCCCACTCTAGCTTTTTCTGCTGCAGCGGGGAGAGGGGTGTGTGCCACAGTGGCTGAGGTAGTCAAGGACAAAAATCCCAACAAAAGCTTGTCATGCCAGTGCTGTTTCTGCGGTAGGGCGGGGCAGCTCCAAAATCACTTTAATATTTTGTTTGTCTCACGCAGTGTTTCCCAAACTTGTTCCGCTGCTTGTGCAGGGAAAGCCCCTGGTGGGCCTGGCTGGTTTGTTTGTTAACCAGACGCATCCTCAGGTCCGGCCGATCGCGGCTCCTACTGGCCCACGGTTCACCGCTCCAGGCCAATGGGGGCTGCGGGAAGTGGCGCGGGCCGAGAGACATATTGGCCGCCGCTTCCAGCAGCTCCCATTGGCCTGGAGCAGCGAATCGTGGCCAGTGGGAGCTGCGATCGGCGGGACCTGCAGACGCGACAAGTAAACAAACCGGCCCGGCCCGGCAGGGGCTTTCCCTACACAAGCGGCCTCCCAAGTTTGGGAAAGTTTGGTCTAGAGCTTGCTGACTGGGTTGCGGGGTGGTTAATCCCAGGAAGGAAACCTCCTACTTCACTAGCTGGGCGTTTTTCTGGGTTTAGCTTGAGTTGAACTTTCATCAAAATCTTAAATAGGGCTTCCAATACTTTTAAATGGCTTTCCCTGTCAGTAGGCTGCACCAGCATATCATCCACACGTTGCACAACGTTTTCTTCATAGGTTTAACTCTAATTAGTTGACGTTGTTTTCAGTCTAGGGCATTTTAATCTTTTCTACTGTTGCTTTAGTTTCAATATAGTTATTCTTTTTCACTTGCAAAACACCACCATCTAGATTTTTCACTCCCTAACAACATTTACTTTACACCACAGTTAATCAGACTTTTTAGATACGATTTTTCATGGTTAAGCACCATTTTTTTTTTATATTTGCTGATCTTTCTTGGCGCTGGGTTGTGGTTCCAAAGCACACAGCAATCTGAAAAAGAAAGCACGACCTATGATGACTCCTCTCTGGAGCCCTCATGGGACTTTAATTAAGTAGCATGTTTTGTTTACATTTCTTTTACCCCTGCATATGCGGTGGGGAAATGCACATTCCTCCATAATTTACCATATACTGTTTATTTGCTATAACATTATAATAGTCATAGCAATAGTCACATGCAGTATAACTGCTTATTTTGTGCTCACAGAATTTCCATACACCCCTATCAACGTGACTGTCCGATTACTCAGAGCCGCCTTAAGGCCCAGTGTTCCTAATTGCATCGCTTGTGTACCTCACCCCTGCCATTGCTCCAGAAGGGCACTGTCGTTTTAATTTTTCATTCTTCTCCTGCAGCTCGGAACTGCTGTTTTATTACTGAAAATGGATCCAGAGTCTCTCCCCGCTCTCCTGGGTCTGGCTGCCCCTGCCACAGCCATGACCGAGACATTGAACTTTATAAAAACACTGAGATAACCAAAGGGTTAAATGCTAAATAACAAAGCCAAACAACACTAGCTACCTGTGTTTGGCAAAAAACGTCTATCAGGGTTGCAACTTTGAATGAAAGATGCAAATGGATTTTTAGTAGCATTTTTAAAAAGCCAATTCATTTTAAACATACCAAATAGGGTTTTGATAGAATAGAAGTGTTGCTTTAGGTCCTTAAAACCAGGGCCGGCTCCAGGGTTTCGGCCGCCCCATGCAGCCAAAAAAAAAAAAATCCGCGATCGCGATGGCAATTCGGCGGGAGGTCCTTTGCTCCCAGCAGGCGTGAGGGACCGTCCGCCGAATTGCCACCGAATACCTGGACGTGCCACCCCTCTCCGGAGCGGCCGCCCCAAGCACCTGCTTGCCAGGCTAGTGCCTGGAGTCGGCCCTGCTTAAAACCTTACACAAATATAGTTTCACATTTAAAAAAAAATGTTTGCTTAACATCCCTGGCCCTGCTCTAATTATTTTTACCCAGTTGTTCCCAGATTACATGCCCTTCTTGTACATTCAGAGTCAGTCAAGTGCCAATGGAAAACCCTGATTTCCTTTTAGTGACTTTGACTAAATCGTCCATAGTAAATGATTCAAATCAGACTGTCTCTCTGCCTGTTGTTTATTTACAGTCGATTCCTTTCGGAAAAGGCTCCATTTTCCTTCAGAACAGCTGTAAAGATTCCTGGGAACAAAAGCATAGTGGTAGTAATTTCCAACCCCCCTTCTCCCCAACCTCTCCAATCCTCTCCCGTATAATTTGTTTGACTGCCAGGGCTCCACCCGGCATGACTGTACCGAGTTGTACTGCCATAACTAGGTTTTATTATCAAACCAAGCATTTTCTTCTTCTATCACTTTCATTCTACCATTTCCACACACCCCGAATCTTTAATTCCCTCCAAACTCTGTAGTGTTAACTGGTGCAAAAGCTCCTTTTAACTCCTCACTCTTGTTCCTTAAATCACTTACTTATCTCCCACAGAGAGACACAGTCACCGGACGATTTCTCTCAGCAGCACTGAACTTATTTCTGGGCTTTTTTGCACTCATACGGCAAGGTGGTGCTCTTTGCCCAGACAGACTGAGCCACCACGTACAGTCCCTGAAACACGGCTGCCTTAGTCTGTGCTTTCTTTACCTTCAGATTGCTTAAGAAGGCAATATTGATATTTGTCTCCAGGGTCACCCAAAGGTCTTATTCTTTAAAATTTCAGCGGCATTTAATGAACCGCTGTTGTGCTCTGCCAATAATGTATCTATTTACAGCATTCACCAGACCTTTGCAGGGCTCTTTATGGCATTCAGCAGACCTCGGCCATGCTCTGCCAGGCATTCTTTTACAGTGGTAGCCAAAGTCCCTCCCTCTGTTCCCCTGGTGTTACTGAATTTCTCTTTAGGAGAGAATTCTATACTGGCCCCCGAGGATAGATCGCTACCCCTTCACTCTGGGGGTTTACAGCACCTGAAATTCATGTCCGCGGTCCCTTCATGGATCACCAAAATGTTGGAATAATGAATAATAATATGAGAAATCACCAAACATGAATTTAACCATAAATTCCTTTATTAAATCCAAAGCCCAAATGGTACTTTATGCAGTTGCTCTAAACATGTCTAACAGCCTAAAAATAATCAGTCACCACACCCAATATAGTAACAGAGTATTCTTAAATTTGTGAGCAGTATACTTACAAATAGGCCAAACCTCGGGATGACTATTTCATTCTGGCATATTCCAGCATGATCAGGTAGGGTCTGACCGAGAACCTACAGTTTTATGGCTCTCTTTATACTCTTCAGCTAACTTGTTAGTTTTAGCAAAAACCCAGTTTGAAGCAGTTTAATCCTTGCTAATTCCCTTCCTCCAAGGCCTTCCTTTCTTATTTCTCTCCCCATCCTTGCTTGCTTTGGGCTTGTTTCTTTGAAGACAATTTCCCTTTGTCTTGTTAATGCAGCTTTTTATTTTATTAGTTAGTTTTGGAATCATACATCTTTCCCACACTCCAAGTAATATTAGTTATTATTCTCACGGCTTTCTTTTACTTGCTGGTTGGGGCCTTTTCCCTACTAACCACAAATGATAAAGCAAATACTTTATTTTCTTAACCAAACATAAGCTAACTCTAATTTTCTAATTGTACATTTATCCTACACAGTGGAGCATGTCTAGCAAGCATAATAAATGCATTAGACGCTTGCCAACATTTGGGATTGTGTGTGTGTGCGCACACCCATGCACATCACAAAATATGCATTTTGTACTTAATATTGAGCAACATGAACTTAGATACATGGGAACAGATCTTAATCAACGTCAATGGAGCTACATTTATTTACGCCAGCTCAAAATCTTTCACAATAAAAATCCTGAAGGAAGTGAGATATAATGAATTTAACTGCATGCTGGAATAAAAATGGACCACATGGGGCTTTAACTCCTCTTAAAATTATACAGAAACTTGAAAATCCTCAGGGTCACATTGGCAACAAGAGAAATTCTAGTGTAGAGAAGAGAATACCTGATTACTTTTCTATCTGCAGACTCGTAGGCGAAGATCAACTCCCTCCTCCCCACAAAACACACAGGAGAGAAGTTGGAAATCAGCATTATCTGTGAGTATTGAGCTAATAATTCTAATGAAAGTCTCTGGTCCTTTACCAGCTACAAGTAGATACAAATAAATACAAGTAGTGTATCATAATGTATATTTTCTAATGAATGGACTACTAGATGTACCATTTTATTTCAACATGTGAAATAATATTTACAGCCCATGCCAGATGTCCCACGATTCAAACCGCACCATCCACTTCACCACTCTTCAGCGTTAGTGGGTCACTACTGTAGGTGTGGTGACAGCAGAATGCTATGGTTGCAATGTACAGCAGAATGGAATTAACTTGATTTGGGGAGAGGATACATTTATGCAATACCTAGAGCTCCATTATAAGACATATTGGCTCTGGATAGATGAGAGAGAAAAATCAACTGGCTTCTCATTCACTGCAGAAGAATCACTGCTGTAGCTTAAGTTTTGTACATCAGAAATGCATATAGTTTTTTTCTTCCGATAGGCTATTTCATTATAACTATGAAATATTTTAACTAAACAGTATTGTTCTTCTAAAAGCTATAATTTACTTAAGGCTACAGTGAGATATCTTACCTAACAGCTCAAAATTCTCAAGGGAAGGGGAATAAAAAAAAAAGCAGTTGGAATTATTGTATAATGTAAACAATGCACCTATTTTGTGTAAATCGGCAGTAAATAGAGTAACTCTGTGATGTGACGGGTCAGAATTTGACAGGACAGTTCCTTGCATCCTGATCGCTTTCTAAATGCAGTTCTTGGGTGTTTATCTCTCACTCTTGAGCTGTATAAAGTAAGAGTTGGAGCAGACCCATACATGGAGTTGTATCGTGTTCAAAATGAAACTCCCACAAAATACACATCAGGAATATTCCTTAGCTCATCTACTTTTATTGTAGGTTCTATAGATCAACCAGCCGATTTATTTTTAAATGGTTTCATACCAAACCAGTAAGGAGCACATGTTATAAATTATCATTGTAAATCCATAGAGACTAATGGAGTTACTCTGGATTTACGGTGACATAATCAAGAACAGAATTTAACCCTTAACTGGAATCTTAGCACACACACACACACACACACACACAAAATTCACAGAATCATGAGAACTCAGAGAGAGACAAAAGAAATTGAAGCCAATTACTTCAGTCACATGGCACTGCAGAATTGTCCTCTGATGTACATTTTCCAGTTCCTCCCCACCTCTAATTTAAAATACTCTTTAGAAGAGTGGAAATCAATGTTAATTTTACTTTAATAGCATATTTATTTATTAAAGGACGAACTGCTGGCCTGAGTAACTACCATGAATTCAAGAGACTTACTCTAGATTTACTCCCATGTAACCTACATCAGAATGTGCCCCTGTGAGCGCATTTTTCAACATAAGATTTCATGTCATTACCTTATAGTATCGTAGACTGCAATGAAAACCGCTGTAAGTCTGCAGTGTCATTAAAAACATTCAAAACCAACTCTATCGGCCTCAATTTTTCAATGGGTCAGATCTCACTTTAGCTTTCCTTTGAGTACTAGATGGAGTCATCAAATTTTAGTTTACACCTTGCAGGTTGTACAGAATTCTCTGTCCATTTGGGTAGGGGCAGGGTTGTTGCTGAGGGAGTAGGAGAGAGGCTCATTTTGTTCTTTATTAATGTATTTGTTTATAAGAATATAAAGACCAAATCATACAAGACTCTTGGGCAAAATAAGCTGATTTTCCCATCCTCCAGCAGCAAGCATACTACTAATATCATGGCAAGAAAGCCGGGATACATTACATAGCTATTTTGATAGATGAGCCAGAAATTTGGAAGCCAGGCTGTGATCCTGCATCATTTAAGTCAATGAGAACAGGATCTGGCCCTTAATAATCCCATGACCCTTCCTGAGATTAATCATGAACTCTGCCTATTACATGCCATGCTGCTGTGGGCATGTTTCCTACTGATTTCCTTATGCTTGCCCTTTATCACACATGACACGCTAGGAAGAATGAACGGCTGTTCTCTGAGCGATGTTTGTGACATCTCCAGTAGGCCATTCTTGGCCGACTCGCCTCTTGATGGACACAGGCCTAACGAATCTGAGTATAAGCACCACCTCTGGCCAGCCCACTCTCCAGACCTCCCAGCAAGAGTGCCGCTTTTGGAGATGCTGGAAGACCAGGTAGGCATAGCTTTAATGCAGCCTTCTTCTGAGGATGAAGTTCAGGCCAGGGCAGTGGAAGGGCATGTCCAAACAAATGTCACACTCTCCTCTCACTTTGCCTCGCTACCCGCACAGAGAACTGGGGCAATTTCTCCTCTCAGTTAAGTCCATGAAAATCCAGAGCAATTCCACTCAGTTCAGTGGAGTCCCCCAGATTTACACCTGCACAGTGGAGAGCAGAATTTGTCCCATAAGATAATTGTGTTTAAATTAATTGACTGTCCCCTTAAGCACATGAACTGATAAACAACATAATGACTAGGCCCTATTGGTGTTCACACACACTCTCTTACATTTAGAACTCCGCATCTCACTGAGGCTTAAAGGATTAATCTATAGCCCAGGGCAAGTGTTCCTTTGAACAGAGAGAAGAAACTAGTGAAAGCTGCCCTAATCATGTTTTTCACCACAGGGCAGGTTCTGCACAGTTAGCACCAATAAAGTTTAAATTTCACTATTAATTTAGGCCCCTATTCAACAAAACACTTAAATCCCTTCTTGGCGTCAATGGAATAAGCCCATTCTTAAATTCCTTACTGAATAGGAATGGATTCATGCATGTACAGACAGTTAACTATGTGCTGTCTTGAATTTCAGCCTTAAGCATGTACTATTTTCATCTCTACTATACGACTTACCTGACCAGGTATGCAGACCCTTCTTCGTAGGGACATTATGTTCCCTACTGTGTAACATTTCCAAATTACTTTGATGTAAACCATCTCAGTTAGCTCTCCAGCGGCAAACCATTGTACAGGCAATCATAAAATCTGAGTTTTACAGCCTCTTTGGTACATGCCTCGGTTTTGCTGCCAAGCAGTGTGGCGTCTTTGTATTTCTCCGTGTGTTTTAAAAAACCCGTCCTGGACAGACCATTTCATTTACCAAGTGTTTACAGCATGATCTCTTTCAGATAAACCGCTCGTGTTTCAGTTTGTCATTTGGGTCCTGCAAGGAACATCCCAGGTGATGTTCGTCAATAACCCTATCAGTAGGCTTATCGTGTACACAAATACCTAGTTACTCAATCAGAATGCAAGGAAGCATGTGAGGTATGCTAAGCGCTGAATACATATTACATTTTTCTGCCAAACCCAAAACACGCTTTCTATTGGTTTTATGAATTAGCCAATTTTTTTCTGCATAATAATTAACAGGAAAAAAAATCATTCTTTTGTTTAAATGCTGAGTCATTTGTCTGTACATTCAACCATTTGCCCACAAGCACTTTTCTTGGATGGAAAATTCTGATACTTGATTTTTTATACTGGAAGTGGCCAAGTACACTCCCATTCTGAAATGAAAGATTTAAAAAATAATAAAAGTACAAAGCATTTGTTGCAGTGATTATGCCTAGGAAAGTGAGGAAAGTGGGAAGGTTAAACAAAAAACAAAAATGAGTAACAGAACCATGGAGATATGTATGTACAGGCCGTGCTGCACTGAGTAACCACATGATCTTATTATTGTCATCGTTTTCTTCCTTTTTGCTCCCCTTACTTGTCTGTTGATATCCCTTATTTATTGGGTCACGCACCTGAAGTAAGATTGTATGCTCTTCTGGGCAGGGGTCACATCTGCACTTGTTTTGGTGCGCACCTACACTAGCATAGTTTTGGTTTTTCAAAAAATAAAGTGATTTTTGTATGTCTGGGCAAAAAATGATTTTTATACTTTTTTCAAAGTTGTGCCATAGACTATGGCAGTAAACTGGTGGCCAGTGTGTGCATGTAACCATGTGCTCCTCCAGACTTAGTCAGAACTGCTCAGCTGTGTGTTATAGGCCCTAAACTGCTACAGCGAAGGGAGATTTTCCTTTAGTGTAAGTATAGGGCCTGTACTTTTGGAGCATGAGTTCTATCCCTACTGCCGCCATGAAGCTCCAAGTGACCCTAACGTGCGGCATAGTATTAATTGTTAAGCCCTAAATGGCTATAGACTTATTATAATCTTTGTGTGTAAAATATAATGTCATATTTAAATTATCTACTCATAGTCTTACCAGTGGGGGTGCCCTAGTACATTTTGCTTCCTGCGTAGGCAATAGTCCACCAATCAGAACAGATGTAGCTTTAATTTGCCATTCACTGCAATGTCTTCTTTTCCTCAACAATTGGCCTGGATGGGTCCTATCGTGCCAAATAGTGAGTGAATTCCGATTAAAGCTTTGGGGATTTTGAGCTCATGGTGCTAAATTGGGATTTGCTCCCTGAGCACTTAAGACAAGATTTTCAAAAAAAGTGTGTGTGATTAGGATCCTACATTCATACGGTCTTTCCAATGACTTCAACAGGCCTCGGATCAGGCCCCTAGTCTCTTAAATAAGTGCTGAGCACTTCTGAAAATCAGGCATTCAGGCCAGAACCGCAAAGGCATTTAGATGCCTAACTCCCATTGATCTCCATGGGAACTAGGCACCTACCTATCTTTGAGGCTCTGCACCTAAGACCCTAATTCAGACAAACATATAAGAACAAGCTTATCTTTAAGCAAGGGAGTAGTAGTGTGAGGGACTATGCACATGCTTAAAGTTAAGCCTGTGTTTTTGTGCTTTGCTGTATTTGACCTCATTTAAGTGATTAAATATGGACATGTGGTCCTACCTTTAAGCACTCACTTTTGATGGCTGGAAGAAACAGCTAGACAAATTCAAACCAAAAATAAGGTGACAAAAATGTTAACAGTGAGTGTACATATCCATTGGAACAGCTTCCCAAGGGACGTGGTGGATTCTCCATAACATGGAGTTTTGGGACTAAATCTTGGCTCCGCTGACATCAGTGGCAAAACTCCCATTGGTTTTAATAGGGCCATGGTTTCACCCTTTAAATCAAGAATTGATTTAGTTCTAGAAGGTAGATTGTAGCTGAACCACGTGTTATTACTGAGTGAAACTATGGCCCGGATTACACCTCAGGTCATTCTAGATGACCATGGTTCCTTCTGGCCTTCAGATTTATGAAACTATGAAAATCTTGACCTTGGGTACTGGGGTGAGGGGCAATACAGAGAACCTGACAGAGATTGAAGACATGACCTTCTCATCCAATGAAGAGTGATACTTTAAAGAAAAGCAGATAGTTCCATAATAGACCACCTTCTCTCTCATTGCTCCCAGTTTCAGAGTGCAATAAATACTAAGTGGCAGAGGGAATAATTGGGGCATCGTAATGCATTGTCTCCTTTCCTGAATTCCTTCAAAGGCTCTGAAAGCACCCATGGAGGATGTTGAAGTCAAGATAGAAACAAAAGAGGAAAGGAAGACACAAAACCAGACTCCAGTGAGAAAATGTGGGAAGCGAGTCTGCAAAGCCGTGGGCTATATCACAGGAGACATGAAACAGTTTGGAGTCTGGCTTCAAGGTAAGCCCATTTCAACTGAGCCAATTAGAGTACATCAGAAAAGCACTGTGGCTAATAATTAGCGACCAGCGTGTTCCATCTGTGTTAACTAATTCAAGGATGCTCTGGTTCAATAAACTGCAGAATAGAAATGATAATACTGAACCATTCCTACATTGTAGGGGAAATGCCCCCTTGTGCAAAAAGCCAGCCATAGCTCATCCACCAGCCAAGTCCAGAGGGGGCATAAGCGGAAATTCACCCCATGTGCCGGCCCCTCTGCAAAGGAGTGAATTTCATCTTGTGAGCATAACAGAGGATGTTTATTTCAATGTTGGGTCGTTCCTTATCATGCTCCCCTTTCTTTCCACAGACTAATGTTTATCATGCCCAAATGCCAGTGTGAAGTTAAATCATTCCTCCATGGGTTTCGATCACTCAATAAATCAGCAGCGAGATACTCACCTAATCTGCCATCCGAGATGCAGACATCATAAGTAAGCCAGTTTGTATGAATCTGGCCCTGTATGCTTTAGAATAGGGAACTCTAACAGCTGCGCTATTCGTCTCCGTTTGTCTTCCAGCTGCAAACCATTGTACAGGCAATCATAAGATCTGAGTCGAGTTTTACAGCCTCGTCGATAACGTGCCTTGGTTTTGCTGCCAAGCAGTGTGGCATCCTTGCATTTCTCCGTGCGTTTCCAGAAAACCATCCTGGACGGACCATCTCATTTACCAAGTGTTTACAATGTGATCTCTTTCAGGTAAACCACTCCCATTTCAGTTTGTCGACTGGGTCCTGCGAGGGATATCCCAGGTGATGTTCGTCAATAACCCTCTCAGTGGGCTTATCATGATTGTTGGGTTCCTGGTCCAGAATCGTTGGTGGACGCTCACAGGCTGTTTAGGAACAGTTGTCTCAACATTAATAGCACTTCTTCTGCATCAAGACAGGTAGGTTGGTCTGGTGATTTAAAATATTGTGATAAGTGAGAAATAAGATCCACGTTCAAATATCTGCCCTTTGATGTGCTGAGTGGCTAGTACTGCCTTAGCTTAGCAGATCAATAGAAAGAAAAAGTGCTTCCTAACCTATTCTTATATAAGTTGTTATACTCTGAAACATAACTGTGGGGGAATGCTGTCTTCACTAAGAAATACATTTTTCCTACACCTTCAAGGACCGAGCTCCTGAAATCCTAATTGAGGCCAAACAAGCCCAGGAGCTAGGATATGTGCACACTGCAGTAGACCAACCTGAGCTAGCTTTGGCCTAGCCAGCTAGAGTAACAGTAACAGTGAAGCCATAGCTGCTGGAGTACATACCCATGGTGCTATGGCTTCACTGCTGCTGTAGTCTGAGTTAGCTCTATCATAGAATTATAGACGTGTAGGGACCTCGAGAGGTCATCTACTCCAGTCCCCTGCACTCCCAGGAGCCTGTGCCCTGTGCCGGCAGCTCCTTCAGTGTGGCTGACGGGCACCAGGCTCACCAGCAGCTGTCCCTGGTCGCACTAGTCCTGTCCGTGAGCGTGCGAGCCACTTGCACACACTAGCACAACAAGGGACAGCAGTTCCCAGTAAAGCCCCGGTGCTCTGCAGATATCCAATTTATATCTGCATTCGTGGGGGTGGAGCACAGGTGGGGCCTTGGGGAGAGAAGTCCAAGCAGGTGTGGGCCTCAAGGCAGAGCAGGGGGCATGGCCCCCCACTTCTAGGAAGCATCTGGTGCTTGCACACAGCCTCCCCAAATTCGGGAGTCACACGCCACCCATGCCTGTTCTCAGAGGTTAAGGAGAGCAAATATTTTCCCTCCTTGTAACAACTATTTATGTACTTGAAAACTGTCATCATGTCCCCTCTCAGTATTCTCTTTTCCAGACTAAACAAACCCAATTTTTTCAGTCTTCCCTTATAAGTCACGTTTTCTAGACCTTTAATAATTTTTGTTGCTCTTCTCTGGACTTTCTCCAATTTGTCCACATCTTTCCTGAAATGTGGCATCCAGAACTGGACATAATACTTCAGTTGAGGCCTACTCAGCACAGAGTAGAGCAGAAGAATTACGTCTCGTGTCTTGCTTACAACATTTCTGCTAATATATCCCAGAATGATACGAAGTGTTACACTGTTGACTCATATTTAGCTTGTGATCCACTATGACCCCCAGATCCCTTTCTGCAGTACTCCTTCCTAGGCAGTTATTTCCAATTTTGTCTGTGTGCAACTGATTGTTCCTTCCTAAATGGAGTACTGTGCATTTGTCCTTATTGAATTTCATCCTGTTTACTTCAGACCATTTCTCCAGTTTGTCCAGATCATTTTGAATTTCCATCCTATCCTCCAAAGCCCTTGCAACACCTCCTCAAAGCTGGCCCTATACCAAATGGCACCCCAGGTGAGGAGCATCGTTGGCATCCCTCCCCCTCCATTTGTTAAACTTTTGAATACCTTATTTTTTATTGCATTTGTAGCCCATTTCATGACTTGGATGCATGATTTGCATGCATGATTTATCCCTGTCACACAAGACGATAAATTTGCACTCTAGGATCTGTAAATCTGCATTTATTCTTGCCGTATATACGCAAATACAAAAATGTATTTCCTCTAAGCTTATAGAAACTTTTTAATTTTAAGAATAATGGAAATGTGCTAACATCAAGAAATGGAATTGTGCCCCAACTTTGGGTGGACTGGTATTAAATAGTGTTATGGTAGGTGACAGCCTTAGAAGAGGTGGGGCCGGAGCACAGCAGCTACGTAGGAGAGCACTTGGCTGCAGTGGCGGCAGGCTGTTCCTTGCCCAGGCTGGGCTTCCGGGGACAGCGGCCAAGCAAGCTGGTGCCCCCCTGAAGTCCCAAGAAGCCAAGCCTGGGCAGGGAGCAGGTTTCTGCTGTTGCCCCTCCCCAGCCAGGGGTAAGCCAGGCAGGTGCTGCTGCGCACAGCACGCTGGGGGGGAAAAGAGGGGACTCCAGCTCGCTCAGCCTGTGTCCTGGAAGCTGAGGGCAGGCAGGGAGCAGGCTGCCGCTACCGCCCCTCCCCAGCCAGGCTGTCTCCCAGACAACTGGCTACGCTGCACAGAGCAGAGACTGGGAGCAGCTCCGTCCCGCTCCTCGCCTGGGCCAGGCTGCCAGGGAGAGCAACTAAACATACTGGGGGGTCGGCGGGGGAAGCTGGCGCAGCAGGAGGACAGAGCCCCTTCCTCCCCCCCACAGGTAACGTGGGAAAGGGGGGAGGGGGCGGGGACAGTGCAGGGCCCCGGGCTGGGGTTGGGGCAGGGAGGAGACCCGTGGGGTGGTCACGTGTCCTCCTTTTGAGCTGGTGCCCCCCCAATATAGGGAGGCACCAGTCGTCATCATCGTTCGAAGATAGGTTTTCGAAGCTCAGACTCATTAAAACCTGCACTCATCACTCACAACTGTGACCATCAGCGTGAGCCGAATCCTCAAAGCTATCCATACATTAGGAAAAGTGTCCTTCAGCCCTGCCTCATGAATGAATTGGAGAACTTGGGGTGGAAGGTGCTTCCCATGTTGCAAAATGTGACAGATGTTGTCCAATTCGACATAGAGGTCTTTATCATTGACCTCCTAACATTACCCATGTGTCAGCATCCGGTGAAGGTCCACACAATATTTCAAGAGTGTTTTCCTATCCACCGGTAGCTTACTACGGTCATACAAAAAAACCCAGGTCATTTTGGGAGTTTCAGTTGTCCCCACCTTTCTTTGATGGACACTTGAGCAGTGTCAATGAGCTAGCAAAAAAACTCCCTCTTGAATTTTTCTTCCAAGCTTCCCATCATCTCATCTCTGCCCTCATAATCAAACTGTCTCTTCTTCCAAGGAGTTTCCTTGAAGACAGGCTCAACTTCTAAGTTTTCCGCCATTTCTCTGGCAGTGGTGAAGGCATCTTCAAATCCGTTGTCTCTGTGGGCCACTGTGAAATCACAGCAGCTTCTCATCAAAGTAGTAGCAGTCACAATGTCCGCTGACTGAGTTTGTAATCTCTGGCTTACAACATTTACTTGGAACAAGATATCGTGCCAAATCACAACTGAGACCTGAAATTTGAAGTCAGTGATGTGGTTTGACCTCCCCCCAACACCCAGCCTTCTTCCCTGCACCTCCACACACACCCCAGCCCTCTGCCCTGCACCCCCCCACACACACTCAGCCTTCTGCCCTGCACCCACACACACCCCAGCCCTCTGCCCTGCTCTGCCCTGCATCTCCACACACACCCTTTTGCCCTGCATCTCCACACACACCCCACTGGTACACAGCACACCTGGAAATTACATTCCAGCACAGGAAGCAGTGATTCACCCCAGGTGAAGGGACAGAGTTAAGTGATGATGCATTTCAACAACAACAAAACCTTCAAGTCAATTGTCTTTCTCCCACAGATCATCCATAGCAGCGGGATTGCATGGCTATAATGGGGTCCTGGTGGGACTGCTCATAGCAGTATTCTCTGACAAGGGAGACTTCTATTGGTGGCTTCTACTGCCTGTTGCTCTTACATCCACGACATGGTAAGTTGCACACTTTTAGGCTTCTGTGAAAGCCTAAACAGTCCTGTGTCGTAGAATTTAAGGGCAGAAGGGACCACCACATCACCTAGTCTGACCTCCTGCATATCATAAACCGCCAACACCCACCCAACTAAACCCAACAACTGAAATGAGATCAAAATATTACAGTCCCCACAGACTAGACTCCCATGTGCCACAGGCAGAGAATAAGAGGGACTGAGGTGCACCAGTGCTTGGATTCTGATTCCTTCGGTTCCTGAGACATTGGTTGTCATATGTTGTCTTGCATAGATTTTTACACTAATGAAATCATGCTACTACTACTCCTGGGGGAATTCTGGGCCTTGTGCACATCTAGAATTCATGTCTCCCACAGATTTCTTTGCTTCTCTGCAGAAAAATGACTTTCTGTTAGGGAAGCAAAGGGAAGCCGCAAGAGCGGTCATGCGCCCCTCCCCAGCAGGGCAGGCAAGTCATGTCAGCCATCTGGAGCAGCTGGCAGAGAGGTAAATCATGCAGTAGTGCGGGGGTGGGGACGCCCTGGTTGGTGGCTCCTACCCGGTGCTGGGCATAACTCCTCTTACCCTGCAAGGAGCGGTTAGGGCTGAGTCAGAACCACCCCTAGAAACCTCCTCAGGCTGCAGGAAGATGCACACACACGCACATGCACACACGCACACACACACACTCTCTTCCTGCCCCCATTGCTCCTCAGCCATGGGGACAGGGGTCACTGTATAGGGAGCTGCTCCCCCGTCTGCCCAAACCCTATGCATCTGGATTCCCCCCCCCATACCTAGACCTCCTGCCAAGCCTGACTGCTCCCACATCCAGAACCCTCACCACCAACCACCCACCCACCCCCCCGCCAAGCCCCATCTCCCCACCCGGACTCCCCTGATCCCCACCCTCCCTGCATCTGGACCCCCACCCCTGCACCCAGACATCCCACACTGAGCTCCCTGCACTCAAACACCCATCCTGGTGAGCCCCATCCCACCTGCACCTGGACCATCCGGATCCTCACCCCACTGAGCCCCAACCAGCTGCATCCAGACCCGCACCCCACCAAGTCCCACTCCCTCCCTAAATCCCCCACACTCAGACCCCCTCTGCTGAGCCCCATCCCCCCACACCAAGACCCCCCGATGAGCCCCAATCACCTCCCCCTGCAGAGTCCCGTTGTCCCCCAACAACCCCCTGTGCATCCAGATCCGTCCCCCGCACCCAGAACACCCACTGAGCTGCCCACACCCAGATTGCCCTACACAGAGCCCTCTCACCCTACACCTGGATCCCCCCCCACTAAACCCCTCCACACTTGGATCCTGCCAGGCTGAACCTCCCCAGCCACACCTGGTGGGTCGGGTGCAGCCTCACCGCCCAGTCCGGGGCCAGGGCCGGGGGCTGCAGGGTGATCTCCCACCTCTGTGCAGCCCGTGGCCTCTGTTCCCCACAGCCATTTTAAAATATTGTGCGCAGAATTTTGGGGGAGGGATGCAGAATTCCCTCCGGAGTATACCACACATGTATTGGCTTCTAAAGCTGTGATTTTTTTTTACTATCATTATCTTTATACATTTTAGATGAATCCTTTCTAAAATAAATTCCCAGTTTACATGTAAATTCCACATTTAACTGAAATTAATTCAATGTCCTAAATGTTAGCCACATGGCTGTATGTCAGTTGCCCATTGTAATGTGAACAGCAACATTATTTTCACCATTTCCCTGCCCTTGTAAACCACAATTTTTTCATTTATTCTTTTACATGTATAAATGGGTATTGTAAAAATGTTATAAACATTTACCAGCCCAGGCACAAAACCTACTCACCTGCCCTTAACCATGATGATTGATGATCATGAAAACAACTAATGATATTTTACTGGCCTATCAAACAATGATGTGCCCAGGCAGATTGGCAATCGGTCTTTTGAACTCAGGACATTTTCCTGGAAAGGGCTGAAACGCATAGATTCTCTTGTCTGCCTGAAGCTCAGGTGGCGAATTATAACCAATTTTGTTGCTGGAACTCAAATGGTCATAGGCTTTGTCTATTGTTTTAATTATCCAGGGTCCCAACCCATAAGCTTGGATAGACTCCAAGCTTTCTCCCAGCTCAAGGCTTGGCTCTGGTCTGATTTGGGCCCCTCTCTAGCTCTACTAAATTAAGGGCCAGATCCTCAGCTGGTGTAAATCAAGCTTCATTGAAGTCAATAAAGCTTCATCAGTTCACACCAACTGAAGATCTGTCCCTAAATATTTTTAGGGTAATGAAAGCAGGGAGGAAATCTGTGTATTGCTGATTGCAATGCACAAGTAGGGATGAGGGACTTGCAAGATAACCTAAAATAAATCTGATTGTATCAGAAGGACCTCTGGAACTCAAACAGTTCCTAACGAAAACCAAAAGGCATGAAGAGTATGCATTTCCTAAATTATCTGTCAGGATAATGGATAGTTTTTGCCTGGCTGAGCGATCTGAGGAATTAATCTTCACAAGCTTCTAATGAGATAATTTTGTTTTTCTCTTTCAGCCCTGTTTTCTCCAGTGCTTTAGGCTCAATCTTCAGTAAGTGGGATCTTCCTGTTTTCACCCTGCCTTTCAACGCAGCAGTGACATTATACTCTGCGGCCACTGGACACTACAACCTTTTCTTCCCTACAGTCCTCATTAAACCTGCAACATCAGTGCCCAATATCACCTGGTCCAACATTGATGTGCCAAAGGTAAGAGTCACTAAAGAAACATTCCACGCCACTTACACAGTAAGCCAATAAAGAGCCATGCCCTTTTATTTTACATGACAAAGACAGAGCCCCATAATACAATTCTGTATTTACATCGTAACAAGTAACCGATATGTAATACTTTAATATGGCAACTGTCTGTTTTGGTGACTTCAATTTTAGAGTTTCCAAGTATCTTAAACATACAACTGAACCTAAATACATGTTATAATCCTCAGTGAATCTCTCTGGATTCTAATAATCCATTACCATGGAGACACTAGTCATGGCTCCATAGTTCTATTCACATTTTTGTAATGCTGGGATTACACCTTTGTATCACACATGATTAATATAGTGTATTAAGTTTTTTAAAAATCATCTTTCTGTTAAGAAATTGGCACAGACACTATCATGATGGGATCATTAGAAACTCATGTACAGGCAGACATGCAGATTTTTTTATAGCCAATATTTATGCTGGACCTACACAAAAACAATCTTTTATACTCTAGTGGTCCCTCTACTATTATCCAACCAGTGCTATTTCCAAAGTTGTGCTGCCATCATTAATTAATGCCAATGTATAAAAAAAGCTTGTAGAAATGGTTATTTCCATTTTAAACTTGTTAAGACAGATAGGAAAAAGAAATCAACCTTTACCAAGTGGAGAACAACAAAGAAAAAAACCCCCAATGATAAAAGATGTTATTTATAAGCGTCTATCAAGAATTTTAAATATATGTAGAGCAATAAAACAAAGTACAACTCCACAGGGCACATCATCAAACGAGAGCTATAGAACCAAGTCAAAACTGAAAATTACCGTATATACTTGTTCATAAGCCAAATATTTTTGGTAAAAAAGTGCCTCGTCAAAGAGCGGGGGTTGGCTTATAAACGGTCTACACCAAAATTTGATGATTTTAAACTCTATGGAATCATTGAATTGAATATCTAATACATGTTGTTTTGTTTACCTGGAGCGTCTGCAGGCATGGAGCCCCTCAGCTCCCTGTGGCCGCGGTTCGCCGTTCCCAGCCAATGGGACCTGCGGGAAGTTCCCACTGGCTGGGAACAGGAAACCGCAGCCACTGGGAGCTGAGGGGCTTCGTGCCTGTGAACGCCTCAGGTAAACAAAACATCCAGGCCCGCTAGAGGCTTACCCTAATGGGCCAGGAGCCAAAGTTTGCCAACCCCTGAAATATAGGATCGGCTTATGAAAGGGTCATACAGTTTTTGCTATTTTTACCTAACCAGCTTGGGGGGTTGGCTTATAAATGAACAGGCTAATGAACGAGTATATACACACTCTATATGTGGCTGGTGACCTCCCCAACACTGCGTTCCTTGCACACCTCAAATGCCTATTGATTCCAAAGAGGGTTTGAGGTGCAAAGGAAGGAACAGATTCTCTGTTGAGGGAAATGAGCAAAACTCCTTTGAAGTGAATGGAAGGAGGCCCATTTATGACAGCAAAGAATTTGGCCTGGGCCTTTACTTGGCAAATACCTTCATTAGAGACCACATAAATCCTGCTTCAGTGGAGATTTATTCATATTAAAGGAAAGAATTAGAAACATCTTCTTCACGAATAACTTGAAAGGTGAAAGAGAAGATCATCTAGAAATGCCAGCTGGCTACCCAAAACTGTAAGAACTAGCTGTTGACAGAAAGAGCCGTTTCCATGGAACTGATGCTCATTAAAATGAGGCCTTTTGGGGAGGTGGGGGAGGCCAAAGCGTTAGATTTCAGTTTATTCTGTTATCGATATCTGAACACAATATCAGTCATGAAAAAAAATGTTAGGTTGGAGACATCGCCTTACAATATCTAATACTTAAAAGGAAGTCCGCAGACTGAAGTAGAAAAAGGTGAAAGCTGTCAGTACTTTTGAACGAGTGACTACCAAGGCTCCAGGGCCAGTGCAAGGAAACTTCCACCTTGCGCCACCCCCCACCCAGCTAATCCCACCCCCACCACAGCAGCTAACCCCGCCCGCCACAGCAGCTAACCCAGCCTGCCCCCCGCCCGCTGCCCCCTCCCCCCGCCCTGCAGCAGCTACCCCTCCTCTGCAGCTAACCCCGCCCGGGGAGCACACACCCCCCCCCCCGCGGCAGCTAATCCCGCCCGGGGAGCCCTCCCCAGCTCATCTCCGCTGAGAACACCGGCACAACTCTAATTCTCCTCCCCTCCCAGGCTTGCGGCGCCATTTGGAGGAGAATTAGAGCGGGAACTGTGTGCTCAGCAGAGGAGGCAGAGTGGAAGTGATCTGGGGCGAGGAGCGGTTCCCCTGTGCGCCCCCTTCCCCCCCCCAGTTACTGCGGGTGGCCCTCTCCGCCCCCGCTCACCTCCACTCCACCTCCTCGCCTGAGCGGGCTTTTAGGCGCCCTCAACCACTAGGCAGTCGCCTAGTTCGCCTAGTGGTTGCACCGGCCCTGCAAGGCTCACCATCTATGTGGCTCATTTCTGGATTACTTCTTAACACATCCCTTGGTTGGGTTTGCACAGAGCGAAAAATCCTGCAGGACAATAAGAGGCACCCGAGTAAGTGACAAAGAGTCACGATCAGGCATGTCAGCCCCCTGGCACGCCCTGAATAGAATTCCCAAAATAACTGCATTGTCACCAAGTGAAAAGGGTGATAAGTGTGAAATCACAGAGCCTGACTTTGACAAGAGGTCTGAAGGAGCTTTGGCCTACTTACACTAGGCTAATTTCTCTCCTGTGCAGAAGAAACAAAAGGCCAAAGACAATGTTGAGGTGCTGATCAAGAATGCTGAAATGCAAGGGCAAGGGAGAGACTAACAACAAACAGCCTTCTTCAACTCCAGGGGCCATGGGCCTGATCCGACGCACATTGTGGTCAATGGAAAGACTCCCGTGGACTATAATGGGAATTAGATCAGGTGCTATGCTATCAGATGACATTTAAAATCCCCAAGAGATCCAGGTGGTGGCAGCCATGGAACACGGACTGGTAGTAAACACTGGGAAAGCCTGAGACGTGGCTTTGAAATACTTCACTGTTTAAGCTTCAGCTTTGCTGCCAGGATTTCACTCTGACTAAACTCTCCCATAAACTTTCATATGGAATTTTTTTTGGCGGGCGGTGGGGGTGCTTTCTGGTGCTTTTTCTACAACAACACAGCATGCACTGAAGCAGTTGCATTAGGACTGAGAGCAGCAGTTGCAGTGAGAGACTTAAGGAGCTCAATCTGTTTAGCTCAGGGGTGGGCCCCCGAGCTCTTGGCCTGGGAGGTTCGCTCCCGGCCCCTCCCCTGCTGTCGCCCCTCCCCCGCAGCCTCAACTCGCTTGCTCCACCGCAGGCACAATGCTCTGGGCGGCGGGGCTGCGAGCTCCTGGGGCAGTGCAGCTGCAGAGCCCAGCCTCACACGGTGCTTTGAGCTGTATGGTGGTGGCGGCGGCGGCGGCGTGGCCCGGCTCCAGCCGGGTGGCCCGGCTCCAGCGCCACCAGCCACCGGTGCTCCAGGCAGCGCAGTAAGGAGGTGGGGGGGTTGGATAGAGGGCAGAGGAGTTTGGGGTGGCGGTCAGGGGGCGGTGATGTGGATGGTGGTCGGGGGGGAAACAGAGGGGGCTGAATGGGGGCAGGGGTGCCGGGGGTCAGTCAGGAAGGAGGGAGGGTTGGATGGAGTGGTGGGGGACAGTCAGGGGCAGGGGTTCCAGGAGCAGTCAGGACAGGGAGAAGGGGTGTGTGGATGGGTCAGGGGTCCCAGGGGGCTGTCAGGAATGAGAGGAGGGGTTGGATAGGGTGGTGGGGATCCAGGGGCGGTCAGAGGACAGGGAGCAGGGGGGTGTGGATGGGGCAGGGGTCCCAAAGGGACCAGGTGGGGTTGGGTGGGGCAGGAGTCTCGGGGGGGGGCAGATAGGAGGTGGGGGCCGGCCACGACCCCCTCCCCTAACCGACCCTCCATACCATTTACTAAACCCGATGCGGCCTTCAGGCCAAAAAGGTTTTTCCCCCCATGGTTTAGCTGATCAAAAAAGAAAATCAAGAGATGGCTTGATCGTGGTGTATGAGTCACTTCACGGGAAGAAAATACCAGATAGTAAAGGACTCTTTAACCTAGCAGAGAAAGGCATAATAGGAATCAATGGCTTGAAGTTAAACCCAGACAAATTCCACTTACAAATAAGGTATAAATTCTTAACAGTGAGGTTGATTAATTACTGGAACAAACTACTAAGGAAAGTGGTGGATTCTCCATATCTTGATGTCTTCACATCAAGACTGGAGGCCTTTAGTGAAACACAAGTTATTGTGCTCAATTCAGCAGTAACTGGATGAAATTCTATGGTCTGTGATAAAGAGGAGAGCAGACTAGATGATACAATGATCCCTTCCGGTCTTAAAATCTATGTCTCTATGAAGATCTGCTGCATAAAGGAGGACCCAGCACAGATAAAGTCAAAATCCTATCCTCTGTGCATCATGGTTAAAAATTACATGGCTCATCACAGGGGTTAAAGGAAGTGGATGGGGCAGGAATGTGGCCATTTCTTATGGAAAATCCCTGTAGAATTTAATAGATGCATTTTCTACATGTGTTTTCTACTGAATTCTATAGGATGATCCAAAACTATATCCAGGCTATAGAATTTTGTAGGCTGATTAAAAAATTAACGATTAACGGGTTGTTAAGAGTGACAAGGTGGGTGAGGTGATATCTTTTATTGGACCAACTTCTGTTGGTGAGAGAGGCAAGCTTTCCAGCCACACAGAGCTGCTTCTTTCTCCCCCACCGCATCTCTCTAATATCCTGGGCAGGGCCGGTTCCAGGCACCAGTTTAACAAGCAGGTGCTTGGGGCGGCCAAGGGAGAGGGGAGGCACCTGCGGCAATTCGGGGGCGGCAGGTCCCTCACTCCCTCTAGAAGCGAAGGACCTGCCGCCGAACTGCCGCCGCCGATCGCGGCTTTTTTTTTTTTTTCCAATTGCTGCCGCCGATCGCAATCCCCCCTTTTTTTTTTTTTTTTGCTTGGGGCGGCAGAAATGCTGGAGCCAGCCCTGATCGTGGGACCGACCTGGCTACAGCTACACTGCATAGAAACAGGTTGGCATTTTTATTAAATTCGATAGGTATTTGGAGGGCTTTTTATATTATCCCATTAGCTTCATCCCTGTTAAATTGTACAGGGACATTTCCATTAGGGGGGTACAAGTCCAGTGCAGATTCATGGGGACACAAAATGAGTGTGAGGGGGGGACGAATGTGGGCTCTATCTGCTACTCCACTCCATAAATACTAGTAATGCCCTCCTCTCAGATGCATAAAGCCCTAGAAGTGAGAATGTCCTCCTCCTAATCTCTGTGTCATTACTAGGGAAATCCCCATGTATTTGGGTTTTGTTTGTATGCTCAGAATAATGAAATAACAAACTCTTTAACAAGCTGAGAGACAAAATGGGTGAGGTAATATCTTTGGACCAATTTGTGTTGGTGAAAGAGACAAGCTTTCACGCACCACAGGGCTCTTCCTCAGATCTGGGAAAGGTCATCAGCGGGTATGTCTACACTGCAATTAACCACCTTCAGCTGGACCCAGTCGGCTGATTCGGGCTGCGGGGCTGTTTAATTGCCGGGTAGACATTTGGGCTCTGAGATCCTCCCGATTTGCGGGGTCCCCGAGCTCAGACTCCAGCCCAAGCCTGAACGTCTACACAGGATACAGCCCCATAGTCCAAGCACCCCTAGTCCAAGTCATCAGATCTGGGCCAGACACGGGCACTTAACTGCAGTGTAGACATACCCCAAGTATCGCAGCGAAATACAAAGTGGAACTGATTGTTAAACCTAAGAAGTTAACACATGTTGCAAGAAAATATTCAAAATGAAGTGGGCATTAACACCTCAGAAGTAGGTCCAATAAAAGATATTACCTCACCCATCTTGTCTCTTTTATATTCTGGGACCAACAGCACTGCAAACAATATATACTAACCTCTCCTTTACAAATGTCTGTAGCTGTTACAATCCATTCCAGTCGGCGTCGGCCAGGTGTACGGCTGTGATAACCCCTGGACTGGTGGCATCTTCCTGGTTGCTTTATTCATCTCCTCTCCTCTCATTTGCTTGCATGCTGCAATCGGATCAGCAGTGGGGATGCTGGCAGGTATTACAGACTATTTCTCTCTTACAGATGTCATACACGATCACATAATATGAAAATAATTAAAGCCGGTGGAAACATTTGCAATCTATACTTGGTTTTACTGATGGAAAATGGCTTTTTTGACAAAACTTTTTTTTTTTGACAAAAAAAAGAAAACTTTTCCAACAAGCATTTTGGTTGAAGTTTTGATTTTGTGATGAAAAATGTCAAGTTTAAAAAAAAAAAACAGTGAGGGGAGAAAGCCACTTTCACTTCTCCTCTCCCCTTTCTCAATGGACAAACAGTTTAAAAAAAAAAAAAAAAAAAAAAAAAAAAAAA